GGGGGAGGTTGAAGGAGGGAAGGTTGGGTAGTAACGGGAGGACCAACTGCATGAGCTGGCAGTTTATATCCGCCTGCTTATCAAAATCAGATACAGAAGTTGATTGGTACCTACAAGCCCGGCCATTGGCATATCCTTGCTGCCAAAGCCCGCGCTTGTAATTATCACTTTCTCAAATAAAAATATTAAACTTGATAAAAGCCGAAAGGAAGGAGTCCACGAACTCACGCCCCCCTAGCAGGGTGCAAATTTTCGTCCCTAGGGTACTGCTTCCGCGAGTTTGACCGTTGACGGATGGCCCCCCGTCAACGTTCAAACTCGCCGAAGCAGCGGCGAACTCACGCCCCCTAGGGTGCAAATTTTCGTCCCTAGAGCCCCCTTGTCAACGTTGACGGAGTCCGCGAAAATTTGCACCCTAGGGACAAATGGCCCCCCGACCCCTGCGAGTTTGAGCGTTGACGGATGGATGCCTCTCACTACTTCTGGCGATTCGTCCCTAGGGTGCAAATTTTCGATTTGCCCCAACCACCATCGGGCATCTTTCCGCTGTGCGTGCCAACCCATCACACACACACACACACACAGAGAGCAACGCACACAGAGAGGAGGACCGTCTGACAGAGGACGAAGAAGATGGCGATGGCCATGGCCATGGCGCGGAAAATTCTCCTCCTTGCGATGCTGCCCCGACTTGTCCCCCTCATGTGATGGGGATTGGGATTGGAATTGGCTCTATCTAATTCACGCGTTTGTGGTTATTTTTTTTTTATTTTTTTTTAATCTGACCCGAAAGGGTGAGGCATACAAGAGGGGAAGAAAGGGAGAGAGAGAGAGAGAGAGAGAGAGTAATCTTATTGTGTGCATAGCATACGAGAGGGGGGAGGGGGAAAGGAAGGGTGGGAGAGCCTCTGTATGCCTCTCGTGTGCCTCTACCTTCCTCTTGATGGGGTTTAAGACTGATGAGTTTCTCGGTTTTTTTTTTTTGTCTCGACAGCTTTCCTTTTTTCTGTTTTTTTTTCCCAAATAATTCTAACCACTAATAAAGTACACCCACCAAATATCTGGACCGTTTCTCGATTGATGCGTTTTCTTACTTCTCTTTTTTTCTCCTTGTTTTTTTTTGGGGGTGCTGTTTCATGTTTTCTTATTGGCGCATTCTCGCTCTCACGCGCCTGCCTAGGCAAATCCTTATGGCGATCCCGACAATGATCGCCGTACCGATGATAAAAGAAGCATGTCCTCTCTCTCTCTGTGTGTGTGTGTGTGTGTGTGTGTGTGTGTGTGTGTGTGGCTCTGATTCCCTCTCTCTCTCTCTCTCTCTCTCTCTCTCTCTCTCTCTCTCTCTCTCTCTCTCTCT